TATTTTTATTAGAAAAATTATAATTCAAATTTTCCATTTTTGTTTATAATTTTGCACCAGGTTGATAAAGAGTATCGATCACCCGTGCAGCTAAATATTGTTTAACTTTTATATTAAAAAACATGTTTAAATAAAAATGTAATTTTTGTGTACTTCTTGTATGCATCAAATTAAATGATTGTGTTTAAGTTGGGTCGAAGCACTGGGTATATCGATTCAACAAAATCTGTTGCCATGGGGAGAACAAATGCATGATTCATCGCCCACTACACAATCTATATCTGGTATTGCTATCTATCTGCTGGGACACGTAGATTCGGAAATGGAAAGAAGCGGGAGGCATATTGAATAATTAAAAGGCAATCCAAAAAAAAAACGGTGATTAACCGGTGAGACAAAGTGACTGGATATTTCAATGTAGAATCGAGCTGAACTGAAAAAGTGGGTTAGCTTCGAGTCGAAGGGAAAGTATTGCGTATGAAAATATTTATTTACACGTAATACAGACACCCAGCGACGTCCACGACGACAACAAAAACGGGCGGAGTTCTTGCGTTTTGCTGCTGCTGCTGCTGTTGGTCATTGAGCAATCTTTGTATGAGACGGAGAAAGACAACTCGCATGTATTCTTATGATAATGAAACGCCGCAATGATTCATTGCTGAACGATGCAGCTATGTGCCAACGTCGTAATTACAATCGATAAATTTGAAAAGACACAAATAAATAAATAAATAAAACATAGGGGAATTAAAAGGACAATTGTCTGTTTGAGGCGTGATCCGAGCCGAACAATACAAAAATAAACTTGTATTCATTAAGGCCTTATCCATTATATACGAAACGCGTAAAAATTGGCGAACCACAACAATAGGCTGATTTCAATATTACGTGTTTTATGATTACAAACTTGTAATCTCTTTAGTTTCTTATTTAAAGAAGCAAATGCTTCGATCAGTCCGGATTCATTATTGAAAATAATAATCATCATTAAGAACACCAAGTAAATTCATGGTGCGAATATATTCGTCATAAGTGTTACGCAATAGACCATGACGAATATATACGACATAAACAGTTATGGGGTTAATCATTCGGCACGTTTAAACAATCATTACTTGTCCACGAAAAGAGTGCGTTTCGCACACTCGATAAGAGAGTATTAAAAATTGGGCGATTGTTTTAAAAATCGAATACACGAATCGCCGCCTACTGTCATGATGTAACTACAGTAACGTTAGAACAAGGATTTTTAACTGAAAATATAATTAATTCAATTATTTTTCAAAGTAGTCCAAAGCTTAATAAGTGCAGCTGCGGCGGTGATTGTTAAGTAGAATTTTAATTATAGATTGTTCGTTGTACTCGATTAGATATAAAATTATATTGAGTGAAGAAACTGTATGAATATTGATGGTGATTATAATTTTCAACTTTGTCTTTCGATAAAAAGCAACCGGCGCTCCCTGAAACGGAATGAAACCCCAGGCACTATCGAGGCCAAAGTCATCTTCGTAATAAATTCCAACGTTATTTTCTGTTACACCAGATGTATGAGCTTTTCTGTATGAACATCTTGAATATTTTAATATAAAATAGATATAAATTTACCGTAAAAAGAAAATATATGATTTGTACAGTAATTTTATCAATAAACCATAGTTTTTGAGAGATTATTCAAGAAATAATAAGGCAACATTCCTTTCATAAATGAAACAGCTTAGAAGTTATTTACAAAAAATATTTTTTCAGTGAAATTAATTGTAACTTTTGCTAAATGTTACATCAATTTTCACAAAATTTAATTGTTTTTGATTAAAAAATCTCTGAAACCTTTTGATTATCCAAATCTTTATTAAGGTCTAACAAATTAAAAAGTATCTACAAAAATAGTAAATTTTTGTATAATATAATATTTTCTCAAAAAAAGACTTCTTGCAAAAACCATTCGTATAAAAATTCAGAAATATGAAAAACATATTTAAATGCATATAATATTTTATAGTACAATTTTTTATATATTTTACACGATTTTACTTCTACTTTTGTAACTTTATAAGGAGTTAAACTATGTAAAATAAAAATACAAATTTCTCTAAAAAATGATAAAAAAAATAATTCTAATAATATAAAAAAATACATTATGAAAAAAGAATGGTAAAAATTTGGTATTTTCTAATTAATTTTAAATTTTCCATGATTTTTCATTTATTTCTATTGCTTTGATATATTTTCATCAAAAATTAAAACTAAAAATGTAAATTTTCGCACAATATAAATATTTATTGAAGCTTTCAAGACTTAATATCAAATCTTCAATTGGATTTCTTTTAGAATCGCTATAATATCTGCAGTTTGTATTAATTTACACTAAGAAATTTATAATTTCTTTAATAAAATATCATTGTTATTAAATTTATAATTTGATTAAATTTACAAATAACTTTAGGAACGAAATCATTAAATCTTCATTGTTGTATATTAAATTTGCAATTTATTTTCAAAAAAAATATCTTTTGTAGATTTAATTAAACTCTTTTGAACGAAATTGAAAAGCGAACTTAAGTAGTTCTCGTCGAACATCTTGTGCTTTTAAACAGAAATTCCTGTTCAACACCATACGGACTGCTGGTACATACGTATCAAACCGTAAAGCAGAATGTCAAGATTCTCGTTGGCATTTAATTTGTAATTGAACCGCGCCTCTCGCTACAATTACGAAGCCTATCCTCAATCCCTATTGTCCCGTGTCCCATTTACGGCTGCAGCATTCAATAATCGAATCGAATTATAAAATATCGATACTCGTCTATACAAATATAAAAAAAAAAAATAGTCTATAAATTTTTCAACGTTCGTTGAACGCGAATAACGTTCCTGTAATCATCTCTAAGAATTGAACACAACAAACGCAACAAAAAATAAATAAATTACGTATTATACAACTAATTGACCTTGATCACTTTCTTGCTTATTTTGATATAATTCCGTGTGACCAATGCTGATTTTATTATTTTATTTTTTTTTACGATTATTGCGAAATAGGATGAAGCCTTGAACGGGGTCGAGTTTTTTTTTCTAATTAAAGTCATCGACGTTCGCGTTGAAGCATGGAGAATCGAACGCTTTCAAGACTTCAGCATCAACGCTCAATCTTTTGTCGTTAATATTGCTTTTTGTTGTTTGTTGCAAGAAACTTGAACTCGTTTTGTATGTAATAGGAAAAACCTATTTCCTGATCAATACAATCTTCAATGAATATACAGATAAATCCATATCTCTGATTAAAAAAATAAACGTATTAATTGATTTTATCTACCGAGTGGATTAATGTAATCAATTATATTAGTTTGTAATCCCAATTTTACGATTTTTCTATCATTTTACGATTCTTGTAAATGTAAATTAAAATTTTGGATGTGGATCAATGCCGAATGATGATGGTTGGTTACGTAAAAACCAATTGGAATGGTTAATTTTGATGATGGTACCCAGATTGCGAGTGGCGATGGTGGATCTTGTTCGCACGAGCGTTTCGTAATGAGATTGAGTGCGGGCCTCGTTTAGCATATTTTAGAAACTGGCGGTGGATGCGTTGTCGTAATGCCGCCGCTCAAATTGGTCTGCGACGAGTGCAACAACACCGGAGCCACCAGGATAGGATGGTGAAGAGTTGGATGGAGGTAGAAGTACTCGCACGTAGATGTTGTCTCTCCTATAAATGGGAACCCCGGAGGCGATAGAAAATAGCAAACGTTCAAGGCCAAGGTGTACGTACGTACACACACACACGCCAACTGCCACCACACTTGAAGCCAGTTTCTTCAAAATCCGCTCTACCATCCGAACCTGCAGCACGCTCCAATAAATTCCCCGCATTCCAAGACGCATTCCAATACAAGTGGACTCCTGTCTTTCTTTTCGATAACTACTATCCTTTTGCAAATTGCTACTTCATTACATCCACTAACCCAGATCACCTAACTTCCCCACTAAAATCAATATTCCATCATTTGCACAAATACTATATGAAAATCGTATTGTAACTCTTATTTATTTTCAATTTAAAGGAAAACAATTTTATTTCGATTTTATTGAATTTAAATATTTTCTTCATGGCTATCAAGATAATTAATGACTTTACATAAAGTGAAATTGTTAAGAATTATTTACTTAAATAAAACTTTCGCATTTAATTTTTCATCATGAGATTAATTAATACGTTAATTTGATAATTTTGAAATGCACTAATAACAATGTCATAATTCGTTTTTTGCTTTTGTTCTGGAAATCTTGTTGTTAATAATGTGTTATTTCGCGTGTCGGCGATCGCGTTTCGTTGCAACTTTACATGATGTAACTGGAAGGAAGCATCATAGAAAATTGTTATTTCACGTGAAAACGTAATGCCGGAACCGTTATCCGAAATCAAATGTCTATTCATTACGTGACTCGAAATCTTTCGGGATTTAACGGTTCGACGATGCTGGAAATGTAAATGTACACATGCCAAAAAGAAAAAAAACAGAAACGATTTGGATTCACATAAAACGTGTCGCATATGTCGTCTACATAGTCTAAAATTTATATTTTGTTGATGTCAGAGTATCGAAATATCGAGAGGTGCGTTCGAAATTTGTAATTCATTTCGATGATGAATGTATTCAAAGGCGGTAAACAAAACCCACGCCGTAACTGTTTTCGCTTGATTAGCGTGGTGCCTTAGGGGGGCGAGATTTTGCTGTTAGTTATTTGCTCTTCGTTTCTACATATATTTCTATTTTACTTTTTGGTTTTGTCTTGCTCTCAAGTTTGGTACGAAGGAGTTAAATTGCCGGAAATCGCCATTGTTGGGAAGGGTAACAATGGACACATCAATTCCGTTCATGTTGAACGGGCGAAGCTTATATATTCGATGACAATGGACCTTTTCCGAGAAGCGCACCGAACAATGCTTGCTGCTGCAATAATTTGGAGACGAGCGAAGATCGTTTCTTGTTGTTGTTGTTGTATCATTCTTTTGGAATTACAGTCTAATTCGCGTGGTTGGAAATTGAGGAAGATAGCGATCTGGCGCATTAACCAAGTTAACGCGTCGGCGGCGCAAGATTTTTGGTCCAGTGCACTTGGCTTAAGCGCGCAACACGACTAACCCAATTTAAGTTGCAGCATATTCTTCTAACAAATCAGCGAGGATCCAGACGAGCGGAACATAAATACAATACAATTTGACGCCTCTTCGATACTAATTAAATTAAGTTCAAAAGAAAAAACGTCGCCAATTAAACTTGTAGCTGCGAATGCGCTCGTAACAACAGGCTCGAGTCTCTTTACAACAATCCAGAGCAAGGTCGAAGCAAACATCCATCTCTACCTGCCCACATCTTCACGCACTCATTGATTGAATAATCCGATTCAATTCGTCGCTAAATACCATTCATTGGTCAACAAGTTACAAACGTTGCGCAAGAGCAATACAAATAGCGCTCCACTATCGCAAACTTACCTAATATATCATAAATATATATCTACAGTGAAATTGAAACTGTTATCCACTTGTCGACTATCAAGTTCGGAGCCGGGCTATTCGCAATTGGAAGTGCATCGGCGAAACTGTATTATCATTCCGATAACAATATGCAAAGTGTTCTTTCTTCTCGTTTATTTTACGATTATCTGTTTCAATTGATCGCCTTTCGATTACCGCAACGCGGTGCGCGTCTATAACAACCGACCTCTTACTATCCAGCAGGTAGTGGAACTGGTGGTTAACACTTCTGGTAACTACTCTGAAGAAGTTGAGGGACATGCGCGAGCGATGCAAGAAACCGGTCTCTCTCTCGTATCCGACATGAAAACATTTACCCGATGTGGGGGAGAACACGAGGGGACCGAAACACGTGGTACATACATTGCATTGCCGGTTATTTATCAATTATAATTAAGTAATATTTGATGGAAAAACAAGATAAGAACTTCTTCAAATCATAAGAATCTATCTGTTTTCCTTAATAATTTAAATCGAAAATGAGGCGCGTCTCAGGTATCATAAAGTATAACAGAAATAATTTTAATTCAAATCTACATATATTTTTAAAATAAATCGTTATTATATGCAAGCCAAATAGCAAAGTTGTTTCGAAAGTTGCATAGCTATGAATACTAAAAGCTACTAAATATTATAAGATTTTCAAAACCAATAAAAATCTTATGACAACAATACAATACAGGCTGGTGCAATTGCGCTAAGGCGTTAGCTAAATGAAGTTGGAAGGCGACGAAGAAGAATATCTTATGTATTATCTAATATAAAAGGTAACATATTGTAATATCACCAATAATGAAAATCCAAACTGTTGTTGATAGGCACCCAAAGGATGGTGTAAATAAGACCGTCGTAGTGATTAATAAAAAACTTATAATAAAAACAATAGACAAATTTTTAAATTTTTTTATATTATTTATTATATATAAGAAAAACAACATAAATAAGGGACATTTTTATAATAGCCGAGTGGTGTTAAATAACTTCAATTCGATAGTATTCAATGGCGCAAAACCAAATAAATTCTAAAGTTTCCAAATAATTGTGCTACAATAAAAAAAAACTTTCAATTAAAAATAACAATAACAAGAATTAACATACAATTCAATCTATATAAATACATATCAAACATAAATACAATCAACAACAAATCACATTAATATGTACAATATTAATGTTGGAATAAATAGTAGAATATTCAGGTGGTGATTATTTCCAGCTGATATTTCTTCAGACTCATCAAACCAAGTCGATGAAGTAATCGGGAATTCCGTGGGTAGACTCGAAGTGCTTACGCTTACTGACGGCCATGGATTGGGCTCTGTCGGTTTCGTTACTGCTACAGATGGCCATACACTAGGTGATGAAGGACTTGCAACAGCTGTTGGCCATAAATCTTTTGGAGTTGTTTTGGAGACGGTCACTGATGGCCAAACATTCGGTGGCAACGGAGTTGCAGTTGCTGGAGGTAATATTTCCGGTCGTGATGGAGTTGACACTGACACTGATGGCCACACAATCGGGGGCAGTGGAGTGGCTGTTGCAGTAGGCATCCCTTCTGGTCGTGATGGAGTTGAAACAGTCACTGATGGCCACAAATTCGGTAATGAAGGACTTGCTGTAACCGTTGACCATATTGCGGGCGGTGTTAGCGTAGAAACAGTTTCCGATGGCCATACTTCTGGTTCTGTTGGCTTGGAGACAGTTATTGAAGGCCAAACATTTGGTGGTAATGGAGTTGCCGTTGCAGTAGGCATCCCTTCGGGTCGTGTTGGAGTTGACACCGTCACTGTAGGCCATGGATTAGATGATGATGGATTCGCTGTTACTGTTGACCATATATCTGGTGGTGTTGGAGTTGTCACAGATACCGATGGCCATGGACTAGGCGGTGATGGACTTGCCGAAACCGATGGCCACATTTCTGGCGGAGTAGGCTTGGAAACAGTTACAGAAGGCCAAGCATTTGGAGGCAACGGAGTTGCCGTTGCAGTAGGCATTCCTTCGGGTCGTGTTGGAGATGACACCGTCACTGTAGGCCACGGATCAGATGATGATGGATTCGCTGTTACTGTTGACCATATATCTGGTGGTGTTGGAGATGTCACGGATACCGATGGCCATGGACTAGGCGGTGATGGACTTGCCGTAACCGATGGCCACATTTCTGGCGCAGTTGGCTTGGAAACAGTTACAGAAGGCCAAGCATTGGGTGGTAACGGAGTTGCCGTTGCAGTAGGCATACCTTCTGGTCGAGTTGGAGATGACACTGTCACTGTTGGCCATGGATTAGATGACGGTGGATTTGCTGTTACTGTTGACCATATATTTGGTGGTGTTGGAGAAGTCACGGACACCGATGGCCAAGGACTAGCCGGTGATGGACTTGGCGTGACCGTTGGCCACAATTCTGGTGGAGTTGGCTTGGAAACAGTAACTGAAGGCCAAGCATTTGGTGGCATCGGAGTTGCTGTCGCAGTAGGCATTCCTTCTGGTCGAGTTGGAGATGACACTGTCACTGTTGGCCACAGATCAGATGATGATGGATTCGCTGTTACAGTTGACCAAATATGTGGTGGCGTTGGAGTTGTTATGGATACCGATGGCCACGGACTAGGCGATGATGGACTTGGCGTGACCGTTGGCCACATTTCTGGCGCAGTTGGCTTGGAAACAGTTACTGAAGGCCAAGCATTTGGTGGCATCGGAGTTGCTGTCGCAGTAGGCATTCCTTCTGGTCGAGTTGGAGATGAGACTGTCACTGTTGGCCACAGATCAGATGATGATGGATTTACTGTTACTGTTGACCAAATATCTGGTGGTGTTGGAGTAGTCAC